CCCTCTATGTGCCCCCCAGACACTGGACATCACAAGGCCCACCTCTCCCATTCACAAGTGGGGAAACTGAGGCTGGGGAGGAGCCATCAGTGCCACCCACCTGGCTTCCCCTCCCTCAGGGGCGGCCAGCCTTCTGCTGCCCTCTGCCGGCCACCCCGCGAATCCACCCTGCACCTCAGGCAGCACCTGGGTCTGTCCTTGCTGCAGCCTGTGCCAAACCACTCTGCCCAATTCACTGGACCCCGAGTCCCTGTGCAGAGGCCAGACTCACTCTCAGACGTGGGGACAAACATGAGCCACTCATACAGGGGGCAGCCTGAGTCTCCCCGAGCACCCTGCCTGCTGTGCCTGCAGGGAGCCGTTCCCCGGGCAGCGGGTTCCTTGCTCCTGATGCCTGGACAGCGGTACACCAGGCTGGGCCCAGGGGCAACCCGGGATGTCAGGAGCTGGGTCTCGGCCCACCCCAAGCCCCACCCCCAGGAGCAAGGAGGCAGGGAGACGGGGAGGGTGACCTTCAGCTGAAGGCCCAGAGCGGCCACACTGTGTCGTCAGAGGTGCTGAGTCTGGGCCGGGGAGAGGGGTTTCTGGGGCCCAGGCAGCAGTGGGGTTGGTGCAGATGGGGTGGAGGGATCGGCCCTGTCTGCCCCACCAAGGCTGGAGACGGCGGAAGGGTTGGGTTCAGAAGCCCCTCAGTGGTTCCTGGGCCCGGGGGTCCGGAGAATACTGGACTTCTGCCTCCTGGATGGATGGAGACAGCCCTCAAAGGGGAAGACAGGGCCTGTTTAGGACAGGTGGGTTCCTGAAGAGAGGCCAGTGGGCTGGGCTGGGGGAGATGGGGTCGCCCCACTTGGAGCTAATGGCTTGTCCTAAAGCAGTATGATCCTGGGGCTAGAGCCCACCCAGGCTGGGAAGTCCCCCACCCTGACTCCCAGGCTGTGGCCTTGGGCTGGCCCTCAGCTGGGGGCCTCAGTTTCCCTTCTGTGCACTGGTATGGGAGATGGGAGAGGCGAGTACAGGGAGCTGGGCGCCCGTGTGGGATGAGGGCAGGGTGATTAGGGTTGCCTGTCCGCTGTCGTTTAATCTGCATTAGGGGAGAGATCCACAGAGAGAAGTGGGGGGCAGAGAGGTTAACTCCTCACTCCAGAGCAGAGGCAGCCTGGCACCAAGCTGGGTCTGGCCCAGGGCAATCTGTCTCGCTGGCTGGACCCTGTAGACAAAGCACCGGGAGGTTCCCGTGGAGCTCTGGGGTCCATTCCTGGGGCCACCACTCTTGCCTGTCCCCCCTCCTGCTGGCCTGACCTGGGCAGAGAGCAGCCACACACATGTTCCCCATGCACCGCATCCTCTCTACGTTCTTG